CTGAAGGAGTTTTCAGAGGCTAGCCATGGTGTCCTCTGAATACTCTTGATGAGTTTCAAACATACAGAATGACAAGGGCAAAAACTCAGAGGAGGAAAATCTTTTTTTTTTTTTTTTAAGTATTTATTTTTTAGTTTTCGGCGGACATAACATCTTTTTTTGTATGTGGTGCTAAGGATCGAACCCGGGCCGCACGCATGCCAGGTGAGCGCGCTACCGCTTGAGCCACATCCCCAGCCCCGAGGAGGAAAATCTTAATGGTGCCTGGGAAGGATGAGGCATTCATGTGGTCAGAACCCAGGGTCCAAGGAGACCAAGCCAAAGATGGACTGAGTTATGGGTGGCAGCCAAACAATGAAATCCTTTAGACCATTCAGTGAACACAGTTGAATCTTGTCCTCTAATCTAGGAATTGGAAGCTAAGGGAGCAGAGGATTGACAGGATCAGATTTGGGTATGGCTACACACCTGGAAGCTTAGTATTTATTCATTCACTCGTTAAATATTTATAGAATACCTACTATGTGACAGTGGTGTTCAAGATTCCTAAGTTTCATCAATGAATAAAACAAAGACCCCTGACCTTTTGAACTTATATTCTCATTAGGGGAAGACAATAAACAAATATAGTATTTTTAAGAAGCAAATCATTGGGGCTGGGATTGTGGATCAGAGGTAGAGCGCTCTTATACCATGTGTGAGGCACTGGGTTCGATCCTCAGCACCACATAAAAATTAAATAAAGATATTGTGTTCACCTATAACTAAAAAATAAATATTTTTTTAAAAAGAAGCAAATTATCGCTTCTCTCGGTCTATAGAGAGATGGCCATTATTTGTCAGTTCTGACAAATAAACTCTCGTGTGTATCTCTGAAAAAAAAAAGAAGCAAATTATATTTAGAAGGTCAAGAATACATTTTAAAAAACAGGATAAGAGAAAACAAAAGTTCTGGCCTGTAATTTTAAGTGGAGTGGACACATAGGCTTCATTTAGGCAACATTTGAGTAAAGACTTAGAGGAGGGAGATAACCATACAGGTCTCTGAGCAAGAGCATTCTAAACAACGGAACAGCTAGTGGCTTGGTTTGGAGGGGTGATCAAGGAAAGTAGATCAGGGAGATCAGTCAGGAGACTGTTGGAAGATACTGAGGGGCACAAACCAACATAGGCTGTGAAGATAGAGACCTTGGAGGCAAAATTGGCAGGACTTGGTACCTGCCTGGATATGGGAAGCATGTAATACTATATTATGTATGCCATTTCAAGGATAACAAATATGAAGCTATATACGCTGCCTCTAGGGCAAGTATGAGAATGGTCAACACATTCCATTCTGGATGACTCTATTGATTACCTGGATGCTCCTCCCCTGACCCTGCTTCCTAATTAACTTGATCTTTAGTGACTTTTCCTCCAGACTACCTGCTGGATACCCTCATGTCCACAGATGAATACTATCAGCCTTTTTTTTTTTTTTTAACCAGGGATTGAACTCAGGGGCACTTAACCACTGAGCCCCATCTCCAGCCCTATTTTGTATTTTATTTAGAAACAAGATCTCTCTGACTTGCTTAGTACCTTGCTTTTGCTGAACTCTCAATTCTCTTGCCTCAGCCTCCTGAGCTGCTAGGATTATAGATGTGCGCCACCGTGCCCTGCCCTATCAGCTTTTAATACTCTCAAACTTGCTGACTTCTCCATCTTATCATTTCACTATTATGGGTGGAATTGCCCCCCCCAAAAAAATAAAAAATAAAAAGACATAACATCCTAACTCACAGTATGTCAGAATGTTATCTTATTTGGAAATAGGGTCTTTACAGATGCAATCAAGTTATGATGAAGGGTAGACCCTCATCCAATATAACTGGGTTTACAAGGAAGGGAATTTGGATAAAAACAGACACAAAAGGAGTACGGTATGGAGATGCACAGGGAAAATGCCATATGAAACAGAGAATTGAAATGGTGCATCTATATGTGAAGAATGTCAAAGATTGTTGCCAAACCATCAAAAATTAGGAGGCAAGAGAGGACTCCCAATAGGTTTCAGGAGAATGGCCCTACTAACACCTTTATTTTGGACTTCTGGTCTCTGGAACAGTAAAACAATAAATCCTGTTGTTCTAAGCTACCCTTATTTTGTTACAACAGCCTTAAGAAACAAATACAGCTACAATATTCCTCCTCTTCTATGGTACTCCATCTCATCTCTCCTCAGATATCTTCATGAGGACCTCCAGGCCACTGACCCCTGTACCCTTCCTATTACTTCCCTCCCAACCCAGTTCGGATGCCCTGGTCCCTTACTACACCCACTCTTGTGCTAGTCTCCCCATTATTTTGTCATTTCTAGATGAACCCAACAGTGCTTTCTCTGATTCTTTACCTATATTACAAGTGCTGCTGGAGCTTAGAAACCCCTACTGATGACACTATAATTTCATGGTCACCAGCCTACACTGAAATTTTAGCCCTTTCTGGATATCTTTACCCCCACCCCCACCCTTGTCACCTCTCCCAATTACTGCTGTCTCATACTTCCTTCCCACTAGCTTCTCTGCCTTACCCTCAGCTGTAGAGTGAACTACTACTTCATGTAGAGCCTTCTGAACTCCCTCGTGCCCTATCTTCACTCTACACCTTTCTGCATACTTGCCCATCCTCATCTCCTTCCCTCCATTATGGGACTCATCTCTCCTCTAATTATTTGAAAGTTGCTTCCACTTTCTTACCTTTTGTGCCAAGCCAAAATCTTTTCTAAGAAATTATAGAAGCAGAAGCTATACTGCAGTGGATTTTGAGACAGCAGGAAATAAAGAATTATACCCAATTCTGTACTCTCTTAAGCTTGGTCAAGCTTTCTCACCCCAAAGGTCTCACTTCTTTTTCTGGCCCTCTCTGTGATATTCTGCCTGAAGGTCCCAGCCGGTACCTTTAGAGACCAAGGGGAAGGAAAAATGCCTCATTATCCATCCCTCCCTGTCTGTATCCTATTTCCCGATTCTCTGAACTGCGGGTTTTAGATTTTAACTCCAGCTGTGTTCCTCCAAAATTCCTCTCTTACCATTTTGAGGGCCCTCAGGGGTGCCTCAATGAAGAGCAGACCAACTGGAATCCTATCTGGGGTTCCAGAGCTTGCAATGCTACCTAACTGAATCACTCCTTCAGCACAGGTCACCATACTTATACATGTGATCCCTCTACCCTGCCACAGCAAAATGGATCAGGATGGGATGCTGAGTCAAAGGCCTATAAATCTGCAAGATAATCTGGCCCCAAAGTTCTTAAGACGCCAGACACTGAAAACTGCTGATGGAGGAAGACATACAAATGAAGATACTCAGAGAAAAAGCAATATAGAAGCTAAGAGAGGGTAAAAATTCTGAGTTACAGATCCTTTGGCTTTGCCATTTTCAAGCGTCTGGAATTGTCTTCTCAACTTCCAAAGTCCTGGTTCCATTGGCAGGACATGTATGTGATGACTCTTTAATGAGAATGACCTACAAAATCTAGTGTATATGTGGGTAAGAAGGGAAACATTGAAAATTAAGCTGTGGGGGCTGGGGTTGTGGCTCAGTGGTATAGTGCTTGACTAGCATGTGTGAGGCACTGGGTTTGAACCTCAGCACCACATATAAATAAATGAATAAAAATCCAATAACAACTAAAAAAAAAAAAAAGAAAGAAAATTAAGCTGTGGATGGCATTTGAACTGTCTTAATTTTAAAGTATGCTGATATACCTTAACGGTAGTTGCAGATCCTTGTCATTTTGCTGTCTGAAAATAATTGACATTGTTTTCTAAAACCATGGTGTAATCTACCATCAGTGTTAATGCAGAATTATTGTATACTGACACAGCAGCACACATGTGTAATCCCAGCTACTCTGGAGGCTGAGGCAGGAGAATGTCAAACAAGTTCAAGTCTAACCTATCCTGGGCAACTTAGCAAGATCCTATCTCAAAAAACAAAGTGGGGGGCTGGGGATGCAGCTTATTTCTAAGAGTGCTTCTGAGTTTAATTTCTATTACAGCTATACACACATATTGTCATATATTTAAGCTGCATTTTACTTATCTTTATTTTAGGAGCTAAAATGAAAACTAAAAAAAAAAAAATCCTAGGCTGGATATGGTGGTGCAAGCCTGTAATCTTGGTGACTTGGGAGGCCAAGGCAGAATCAAGGAAGTTTGAGGCTAGTCTCGGCAACTTGCTAAGCAACTCAGTAAGACCCTGTCTCAAAACCAAAAATAAAAGGCACTGGGGATGTGGCTCATTGGTTAAGAGCCCTTGGGTTCCATCCCTGGTACCAAAAAGAAAGAAAGAAAGAAAACTCTTAATTGAAAGAATAGTTAGGCAGTGGCTATCAGCAAGATACTGAATCACTACAGCAGCCATAATCACCTTCATGGGTATGTGAAATGCTTCATGACCCCATGCATTTGAAGGGACTGGTAGGGCAGCCAGAGGTTTCATCTCTCCTAATATTACCCATGAATTCTTATCACCTGCCCCTCAAATAGGGTCTTCACATCACTCAGAACTCATGAATCTTGGAAAGCAAAGGATGCAGTATTTAAAGTTCTCACCATAGCCTACTGGCCTTAAGTCCTTGTCAGCTCTCCTAACACCTTAATCCCACCTGCCTAGTACCAAGAAAATATTTCTACACCTCAAATATTTCTACTATAATGTGAGCTCAGAAGAATCCCCAAATTTCTGCTTTCCTTATGCACACTCAGGCTGCTGGACACATTGGAGAAAATCTCAAGATCTATGGGAAACCCAACTGATTCAATTCTTGAGTCTACCACTACCCACAATCCTGCCCTAGTGTCCATAGCCTCCTGGCTACTAATACAATCTTTACCGCTCTCATCCCTCATCTCTCAGACCTGGAATGGAGCCCAGGCCATGGTGAGTCTAAGGCCAAGGTGAGGTAGAAAAGGAATGGCAAAGGGTAAAAAGGCAAGGAAGAGACTTAGAAAAAGATGTGGGACTGAGGCATTTTTTTAAGACAGGAAAGAACATATTTACAAACTGAGTCAATTATAAAAGCAGTTAACATTTATATAGCACTAGCTGCCCAAGTGTCATCTAAGTATCAAATATTTATTTCTCTTTATTTAATCCTCAAAACAACCCCATGAGGTAAACACTATCATTTAGAACACTAAAGCACAGAAGAGTAACTTGTCCAAGATCACAAGGCAGTAAATTTCAAGTGGTAGAACCAGGATTCAAATCCAGACAGGCTGATGCCTGGGTCCATGATCCCACTGTAACATATGCTGCAGAAGGGGAGAAACCTGAGCTTGCAGAATTCCTGAATGAGCCCAAAGCAGGTGGCAAACAGCCAACCATGGGTCTACATAGATTCAGGTCACTGCTTGAAGATTCTTATTCACTAGATCCAACACCATCCTGAGCCTATTCTTTCTCTGTATCCAGCCTATTAGCTCTCAGGGGGCAAAAGATAGGGACTTCTATTCCTTTACTCCCACTTCCACAAAGCAGGCCAAGGTTCATCTGACAAATGGGCAGAACCTTTATTTCCTAACTCTAGACCTCCATTAGAAGGTCAAATGTACTGCAGGTCAAATGTACTGCAGGCTGAAGGCAAAGCCCTTCTCAAACAATCCAGAAATCAGCAGAGACCCCCACACATGGTGTTCTTCATAGCAGTCCCTTCCAATAGGCCAGACGGAAGGGGCAGCAGGATTTCTGTGGACCCAAGCTGTGTTGGGAATGGTGAGCAGTCAAAGGGGGGGAGTCTCAGAAAAGGCACAGCCATCTCAGATGTTCAGACCTAGAGAACAGCCTGGTTTAGCAGGTCTTCAGGACCGGTTGTCTCGAGGTCTTCTTCGGGGTCGGGGGCCACAACTGGAGCTGGGAATGGAGCCCAGGCCAGGGGGTGCCCCTGGGGGCTGGTAGCCACACTCACTAGGGTCCAGGGGGTCCCGGCTAAGCAGTACCCACACTGCAGGCACATTGCGACGTACTGTGAGGGGGTCTAAACCTGTGTCAGGTGAATTTGGGACCCAGCTGTCTTCAGTCTGCAGGAAACGCAGTTTGGTGAGCTGATGCAGACCTGGAACTCGACGCTTGACAATCTCAGCGCAACTGACCGCTTTCCCTGCAGCCCGGCCAGAACCTGAAAACACCACATGTCGTGCACTGCCTCCCTCCAATCGACCCAGTGCAAGTCCCAGCAGGTTTCGAATTTTGCTGCCATCTCGGACCCGCATCTCCAGGGTGTCAGGAGGTAGCTGGGGCATTGGGGAAGGTGCTGGAAGCTCTATAGAGCCAGCTTTCCGGTAGTGCTCCATCCTGCTTGCTGTGTTGTCTGTGACTCTCACTGCCCACTGCAGAGAAGTATCAGATGAGTGGTAGGCAATGTGCCCCCCAGCCATTCTCCATCACGCTCTCCACCCCTCTTCAGGATATGGCCCTTTTTCTCATCCCAGACTTCCCAGGAACAGTGTCACATCCTCTCACTCCCAAGCTTTTAAGACCAGGAACCATGTCTACTTCATCTTGGGAAGAGGCTTACCCCTTACACGCCCTCCCCCTCCTCTAGACAGCATCACAATACACCCCTCTCCCTCAGCAAATCTGGAGTTCCGGAGACAGGACCAAATTTCCAAGCATTGGGTTCTTTGGGCCAGGACTAGATCCCATTATTCCAAGCCATTAGGACTAGTAGGGAGCCCCAACCCCATTCTGGGCTTCTTAAGGCAGGGCCCAGAACTCTTACCGTGGCTCTCTAAAAACAAGACCGAGAGCTCCTATCAGGGTTTTTCAAGTACAGGGACAGGCAGTCCCTTCATTTTGTTCTCCCTGAGAACAGGGCCAAGCCCCTTTGCCCCAGGTTTCCCGGGACACAGCAAAAGCTCTTACCCAATGCTTCCCAAAACAGAGTCAACATTTTCTCTGGGGTCCCTAGTATAGGGCTAAGCAGCCTTTGCCCCCAAATTATCAGGGTCGATCTACATCAACCTAGAGTAGTCAGAAACTCAGGGGCAGGCTCGAGAGGAGGGCTGCGCGGGCCACTCCGGGCCAGCTTTGGCCGTCTCCGTTGCCTCGGGCCGCTTCCAGATCCCGCGGGCCACTGCAGCTAGGGAGCAGGAGTCCTCTCGGGCTACCTCCAAGCGTCGCCACCCTGCTGGTACCAGGATCTCACCTCAGCAGACCAAGAAGACTCCCGCCTGAACCTCTCAGCGCCTCCAAGATGGCGTGCGGGCGGGGTGCGCGCCGAGACCGCGGGCCCGCGCACGCCGAACGCGGGCGGAGCCTGAGGGAAACCGGGGAGGAGCTTGGACCCGCTGAGGGAGAGGAGCTAGGACTTGCTGACAGGGGACAGAGGCGCATGGTCTCCGCAGTTAAATCCCGGGCAGGGGCACTCCAATGGGGCCAAGAGGTCCTTGAACAGGAGGGGAGGAGCCATCTGAGGAGTCCTGCGTTTGAAGGACAAGGGATTCGGGAGACAAGATGGGAGGGAGGGCATTACCTGTTGGACTCCGAAGAAGCCTTTCAGTTTGGAGTGGCCACTTATGCAGTAGCGCGGCGACAACCTCAGTTACCGAGTGCTGAGCTTCGACTCATCCTGTGAGCACTGGCGAATTATGGGGGTTTTGTCAGGGGTCAATCGAACCACAGCTTGTGTAGAGCTCACTTGCGGCAGATGAGGGTAGTGTTTGAGGTGGGAATGCGGTCGGCGTGACCCTGGGAAAGGGCTATACCGCATACAGCCCATACCAGCCTCACAGGGCTCCTGGCCACGGAACCCAGAGGCATGTTCACAGAGCCTAGTCGATGCCCGGCGCCTGATTGGCGTTCAAATATTTATTGGATGATTTTTTGAACTAATGAACCACAGAAATTGCAAGGGGGGGCTGGGGATGTGGCTCAAGCGGTAGCGCGCTTGCCTGGCATGCGTGCGGCCCGGGTTCGATCCTCAGCACCACATACAAACAAAGATGTTGTGTCCGCTGAGAACTAAGAAATAAAAATTAAAAATTCTCTCTCTCTCTTTCTCTCTCCTCTCTCACTCTCTCTTTAATAAAAAAGAAAAAAAAAAGAAAATGCAGTGGGGATGGAGAAAAGATTAATTTGGGAGATATTGGTGGGTAGTTATGGTGAAGAGTTGGTGACTGTTTGAATGGAGAAGTAGTCTAGAATGATGCCAGGTTTCAGAACAGTCTGAACTTGAGTATCAGGAGTAGGGAGACCACATCGGTAGGGGGTGGTCAACAGACAGTTGGTAAGCAATCTGGAGCCAAATCACTCCCTAAGACCACAAGGAGGCAGCATTTAGCGGAGTGTGGTGCCCATTTCAGTTTCTTCTAGCTCTTTCACAACATGCTCCTTTACCCCACCTTCCCAACTGCCCCTCCCCAACCTAAAACTTCCTGCATACAAATCTCCTGGGCTCTCCCAAGCGGTTAATGGCACCGCACAAACTCCCAAGAGAGAAATTTCAAGGTTTTTCTCTGCATTTGCACATATTGCTCCCTTGGCTTGGAAAGTCCCTGCATTGATACCCACCAGGGCTGCCTGTTTCATAGCTTATTCTTTGTGTAGAAAAGGACCCTATGCCCACCTGGTAGCATTGCCCATTTGCTTGACTATCTCCTTAATAGCCTGTGCTCTACCTGTATCCTCTCTACCTGACGGCATATAACTTTTAAAGGGTACTTGGTAAATGAAGGATAAATGAATGCACAAAGGAATGTCCCATTCACATCAATCAAATAAGAGCCTTCATCTTCAGAGCTCTACACCTCCCAGAAAGCCAGATTAAGATAGAACAGTTTCCAGTCCAACCACCAGGGAGGTTGACAGCTCTACCTTTCGCCACCCCCACCCTCACCACCAAGCCCATCCTAGACCAGAAGCTGGCACACTCCTCCAGTAATCTCTACAGTTTATTTATTATCACTGGAATAAATACATTGATGGGGGGGGTGTGTGCAAACCATAACTGCCAGATAACCTGATCTCTGTACTCAGAACCCCACCTGAGTACAGACAGGTGGTCCTTAAATTTCTCAAATACAAAGCTGCCTCTGCCTTGTTATAAAGACAGTTTGGCACAGGGCCCTGAAGCCTGGCTGCCCTGGCCAGCCCTGTGATGGGGAGCAGCTGTCATTCTTCTGCTGGTTTCACTTGCTTGGCAGCTTCTAGTTGGCAAAGCAGCTCATCCCACTGCACGAACTGCTTAGAAAGAAGCATTGTCTGGTCACAGGTCAAGGAGATAACAGGAGTCTTATTGAGGGAGTGATTTTGCATCTGCCAAAAGACATTGGGATGGGGAAGCAGGGAACAGACAGGCTAATTGGGATGGGAGAAGAGAGGAAGAGGTGGGACACAAGAATAGAGCTTGGGGAGAGCACCCCAGGATCTAGCTGAGCAGAAAGGATACAATCTTGTTGTATTCCTCCAGGAGAGCCTTGGACTCCTCAGTGATCTCCACACATTTGTCCTGTAGGGCCAAAGTGGCAGAGAAAGGATATGGGCAAAGTCCCATCTCTCACTAAACTTACTCCCCACAAAGCCTAATGAAGGTGAATGCTTACACCCAGAACCAAAGGAGCAAAAGGCTAAAGGGGCATTTTCAGGCCCCAGGATGGGTGTCTTAACAGAAGTCCAGAGATTTATGTAAGGGGAAGTGGGCCATACGCTTAGGAAAACATTCTGTCTGTTATATGTCTTCTCCTTCTGAACCCTCTTTGAACTTGAAACTAAGAACTGGGGATAGAAAAAAGAGAGAGAGGAGAAGAGGAGAGAGAAAAAGAGAGGGAGAGCATCCTCCACCTATAATCAAGGACATACCATTCTCAGGAATTCTTGGGTTCCTCCCAATTTCAACCTTGTTTCAAAATAGTCCTACACTGGGAGGCAGGAGGCCTGGATGTAGCCCTAGGCAAGTCCCTCCCCCACTCTAAAGCATATGGGAAATAAAGGATAAACATCCAAAGTATCAAGAGGAGGGCCTGAGGCCTGCTTCCCCAGATGAGAGGAGTGTGGATGACAGGCCTTACCATCTCTACTTTCCCTTTCAGTCCTCTCTCCTCTCATACCTGCTGCTGGATGTGGATCTGAGCCAAATGCTGTAGGCGGGCGGCATGCTCAGGAACGGCTGTAAAACACATTGCACACTATCCAATGATGCTTGTGCCCTCCCCCGGGACTGCTCAATAGTCTATTAGGTCTTCGGCAGGATTAGAGTATTGAGTGGAGAAGCTAAACAAACGCCAGGCTTCATCGACCACTGTAGCTGGAGGGGGGGTGGCGCTTCCTGCCTGACCCAGTCTTATTACAGGACCCACAGGGAAGGGGAAAAACAGGTGCCAAGGAGAACACAAAATTTTGGGGTCCTCAATGTTGCCCCCTACCACTTAAATGCTATGAATATGGCCTGATAAAGATATCCTTTTTGTTTGTTTTTGGTGTTGGGGATTAAACCCCAAAGTGCTTTACTACTAATACATTCACAGCCTTTTTATTTTTATTTTAAGACAGGATCTCACTAAGTTGCTAATAGTCTCGCTAAAGTTGCTGAGGCTCACCTCAAACCTGTAATCCTCGTGCTTCAGCCTCCCAAGTGCCACCATGCCTGGCAAAGAGAGCTTTGTCTATCATAGGACCTGTCCCTTTGCTCTCAGCCCAGAAGCCCAGGTCTGTCTGGCTTTGGGAACAGGGATCCAGCAGGTGAGCTAAGGAGGATGCCAATTCCCTAAACTAGCCAACTTGAATCTAACACCCAGAGCCTTGACCACTATGTTGGGACAGCAGCTTAAGGCTGTCAAGATACTTAGTAGGTAGCTGATCAGGAGCAGGAGGGGGAGCTAGAAAAAATACCTCCTGAGACAGACAAGATGGATATCTGGATTCAATTAAAGCCACTGTCTGCTTGTCAAATGCCGGGACCAGGGACTCTCTCAGCAGTGCAGCAGTAAGTATTCATATACCTAGCAGGTGCTCTGCAGTTAAATCAGGGAGATACCAAGGGGTGGGGTAATAAGCAGAGCTGGAGGCTGCTAAAGTATCTGCTAAGTGTCCTCAGGCCCAAACTGCCTGAGGTCGTGAAACGAGGCTCTCTACTCTGAGAATTTTAATCCTAGTAGAGGTGGCAAGTACCCCTAGGATGGGGTACTTGGACAAGGAGTGGACCCAGACTGAGCCCAGGGAGTCTAAGGCATAGGCAAGTCTTGCTCATCCACCCACCTCCCCAAAAAAAACAGTGGAACTGAAATCCCGAAGAAGTACCTTTGATGGGAGCACTGTCCAACATGGGTACCAGGTTGTCCACCTGCTCCAGGAGTGCAACTTGGGAGAGTATAAACTGCTCCTCTAAAGTATAAAGAAAAGACAGTGGAATTGAAGCAACCCCAGCACTGCTACTTCAATGCAAGAGGCCAAGCATCTGACAGGAGACAGAGTTGCTGCCCAATCCTACCCAATGCTCCCCTTCTTTAGGTGCATATTGCCCCCACCTTTCCTGGATGTCTTGTCTGACCTATCTTGAGCCCAAAGAGACTTTTGACCTCTCCAAATCCCTCCTTTCTTTAAGTTTTAACTCCAAAGCCTTTTTTTTTTTTTTTTTTTTTTTTTGAGGTACTAGGAATTAAATGGGGGAATAAGCCATGGGCTACACTATAACTGAGCTATATCCTAGCCCTTTTCTATTATTTTATTAATTTTATTTTTTGGTACCGGGGATTGAAGTCAGGGGCACTTAATCACTGAGCCACATCCCCAGCCCTATTTTGTATTTTATTTAGAGACAAGGTCTCCCTGAGTGGCTTAGCACCTCGCTTTTGTTGAGGCTGGCTTTGAACTCATGATCCTCCTGCCTTGGCCTCCCAAGTCACTGGGATTATAGGCATGTGCCATCATGCCTGGTAGCCCTTTTCTATTTTTTGAGACAGGGTCTTACCAAGTTGTCAAGGCTGGCCTTGAACTTGAAATTCTCCTGCCTCAGCCTCCTAAATCACTGGGATTACAGGCTCCCAGGCCTGTTCTTCTAGCCTCTTAACAACTCAGTGCCTCCTAGGTCATAGAAGACAAAGTGCTTCAGACTTGGGTCACCATGCCAAAGGCCCCCAGGAAAGTATAGAAGAACAGACACGTAACAGACTATACCAGGCAAGATCTGCTCAGTTTCTCAGAGACAGAGACAATACAAATGGCAAGAGAGCTGGGACAGTAATGGAAGAGGCTAGTGAGAAAATAGGACCTGAGCTGAGCTCTGTATACACAGAGGGGTTCAATGGACTGAAATCCACGGAGTAGGAAGGCATTCAAGAGTGAGGACTGTAGCTGGGCAGTGGTGTACAACTGTAATCCCAGTGCTATGTAGGCTGAGGCAAAAGTATTGCAAGTTTGAGGTCAGCCTGGGCAATTTAGTAAGATTCTCTCTCAAAGATATAGGACAGGTGTGGTGGCTCATGCCTGTATCCCAGTGGCTCTAGAGAGGCTAAGGCAGGGGATCATGAGTTCAAGGTCAGCCTCAGCAATTTAATGAGGACCAAAGTAACTCAAGGACACCCAATCTCTAACTAAAATATTAACAACACCCTGTCTCTAAATAAAAGGGTTGGGACAATGTGGCTCAGTGGTTAAGCATCCCTGGGTTCAATCCCTGGTACCCAAAAAAAAAAAAAAGACATAAAAGGGCTTGAGGGCTTGGGGGGTATACTCAGTGGCAAACTGCCCTGGGTTAAATCTCTAATATCACCAAAAAAAAAAAAAAAAAAGAAAGAAGAAAAGGAAAGTGAGCACTGTTACATGCAAATGACTAGAGGCAGGAGTGCTTGATAATTAATGAGGGAAAAAGAATTCAATTAGGACTGGGGTCGTGGCTCAGTGGTAGAGCACTCGCCTAGCACGTGCAAGGTACTGGGTTAGATCCTCAGCACCACATAAAAATAAATAAATAAGGATATTGTGTCCAACTACAATTAAAAAAGAAAAAAAAGAATTCTGTTAGCTGAACTGAAAAAGGCAGAGCACAAAAAACAGAGCTGGATGAGAGGACAGGCCCTATAGACTAGAAGACCTTGAATGGCAGGCTAAAAGATTAGGATTTTATGTTAGCAAGGAGAGGAGACACTGAAGTTTGAAGCAGGCAACTGACTTGCTGGAAATGTGTTATGAAGATGAGACTGGACTAAAGCAAAAAGATGATTTGGGAGATTGTGTAACTTCTAGCATGTGACTAGATGTACACCTCCTGAGGCAGTGTCATAGGAAGAGAGGGAGAGAGGCTAGGGTAAGAGTCAGTGCAAGGGAAGATCTCCTGAACCATGGAAATTGCTCAGGAGCCCTTTGGGAATTCTAACAGCCCTTTCATCACAGGTGCCCTTTCATCACAGGTGCCCTTCCTTACCTAGACCTCAGTATTACATTACCCACCTAGGTTACAAACTCAGGTCCCTAGAACAGGGATTGCCTCCTCTTGCTCTTATTGTGCCCAGGAGGGCAGGACTGACTTTCTGGTTTACCATTGTTTGTCTCTCATCCAGGATAACACCTGGATCCACAGCAGATAATCATTGAATGTCTTCTTTCTCT